AGCGAAGTAGGTAGAGTGGAAATGCCTTGGTTTACCGATTTCCCTGTATGTCATCCGGAGCAGGTAATGTATTCTTCTTCTTGTTGTTGTTGGCTATTACGACGCTATGGCAACTCTACGTCTGCCGTCAAGTTCGCAAAAATACATTTTTATTCCTAGGGTCACAGATTCCTAGCATAACAATTAAGAGCTAGTTGAAAGCCAGATTCAGGATTTAAAAGAAGTTATAGGGTGTTCCAGAAAGTATAAGCATCAGGGTGGGTCAAGTTTGTATGGCGGTTCACAAGCAGTACTGATAGAAATCATTTTTTCTACACTCAACTTAGCTGAAAATGAAGACAACCTTAACAGATAGACCTACTACCAGCGTGAATTTGAATTTTGACATGTCAACATTCTCTTGATCAAGGCAACCTCTGAGTATCGAAGTTAACATTTGTTTTTCGTCATTCGTGGCTGGATGTTGATTATCGCCTCCGTTGTTGTCAATATTAATATTCGTCTTCACCTTGGTGTTTACACACAGATCGATGGAAAATGATTGCCTCATGCTGAATTTATGATAATATGCAGGTTTTAGGCTCTGGGGTCGACAATATTCAAAAAAATCATGTTGCCCAAACTAAATTTGAATATTTTGGTTTTGAGGATCGTTTCTGATTTTGACAGTTTTGGGTTCAAAATCAGCACTGGTGAATATCAACAAACGCGTCTTCATTGATGTATAATGAACTCATTTCTACGTTTCGCTCGTACGTCACAGCGAAGATATTCAAAACGAACGCAATTCATCTACACTGGGTTGAAGCGCTCCGCGCTCCTCCTCCGCGTGTGATGGTAAATGATAAAAACAGACACTGCCTTAAACTGCGAAAGTACACTCGTAACATTATCTACAGAAGTTTTCCTCGAGAGGATAAACTGAATATTTCATTGATCATCCTTCTCGTATCACGATTCTAAGAAATCTAGAATCTTCTTAGCTTTGATGGAAAGATCGAAATATGCTCAGTGCATGAGGAAATGTTCAATTGCACCTGCAATGCATATATATTAGGGTGGTTCAAAATATCGATTTTGCTGCACCCGGCTCAATTGATTTTAAAACAGGTCCCAAAATTTGAGTTTATTTGGATCTGAACTCATACTGCACTGGGCCTTTCAAGTTTATATGGGAAAAGTGACCTTTATGTTCTCAACTTCCTGGCACTTCGCCATAATCATTTACTGAAAAACTTGCTATCTGCTCATATGTGAAATTTTATCAGCTACAACAATTGACGTTTTTTTACTAAACTCGCATCGTTGTCAGTCTGTTTGTATTCGCTCATGATCTACCATCGTCTTTCGCACTCAACACAAATGGTAGAACAACATTCGATCAAATCGAATAGTATCAAATAACTATCATATGGCATTGTGTCATTTCGTTCTAATTCCTCAATTTTGTGTAAATTAAAGCATTTTTGATCAGAAATGTTGTGACTAGAGAGGGTCTAGTATAAGAGAGGAACGGACTGGCTGGTTTTGAGCCAAACGGACTGTCAAAGTAAGAGCCAATCTAACAGCACCTCTCTTGATTGAATTGGCAGTGTTGCCAAAAATCATCTAGCCATAGGTTGCCAAGACAGTTTTTTTTTAATCCGCTCCTCTCTTATAAAAGGAGAGGTTATGACTATAACATCATTGTTTGCTATTTTCAGAATTCACACAAGTACAACATTAGCAGCCCTTATGAGCATGAGCATGATTGACCGCCCACGATTGCTACTCTGTTATTTCCAGATCGGCTGTAATTACCCAGAGAACCAATAGACGATGCTTGGGACTAGCAATCATCTTCAATGTGTAAAAACTGGTGATCTAAAACTAGGAAATACCAGCGCCGGCCGCGCCCGAACACAGGTCAATAGAGGAATGGGTAGAAATGTGTTGACGTGACACTCGCTTTGATGGAAGCCGAGAACACCGCTGCACTTCCACGAGAAATCACTGGGATGTTGGATAAAAAGAATTCGTTTTGGTAAATGATATGCTGAATTGATGTCCTAACGATGCAATATCGCAAAGGAGCTTGGGTTTGGTTCTTCTGCTCAGTAAGCAAAAAGGTTTTCCACTAGGTAAACGAGCTCCTTTTTAATCATTGAGTAGCTGTTATTACCAAGTAGTCATATTAATAAATAAAACGATTAGCGAATCTTTAATGTGGATGGACCTGAGATTAGACTCATAATGTTCTGCTCAGTAAGCAAAAATGGTCGCTCTTAGGCCACCGAGCCCCTCATATCACATCATAGCGATACTCGAATTGTTTTAACCACTCCAACCCGGCACCGACGACGACAGCAATTTTCGCAAAATACACGATAAACAAGCGATTTGACCATAAATCTCTTTCATATGAAAAGACCTGGGACTGCGTACTTCTTCTCAGTAAGCCACTGCAACCGATGATCTTTCAAATCCTAAGGCTAAAAGCTACGAAAAAGCACTTAGGCCTTCATTAAGTTCCACTTTCACGCGACGTTCAATGTTTCGATTTACTCTGTACGCATTGTTCAGGATATCGTGCCTCTTACATCATAACAAGCTATGACCAACGTTACTATTCTCTAAGCCCTGATTAAACAAGATATTTAAATGAAATTACGTTCTCTAAAGCAGTCAAAAATGTAACCGAAGCGTTCCACCCGAGATCAATAAGTTAGTTTCTACAAGAGTGGCCAGGGATAAATCGTAATGTCTTTTCCCCACAAGACTATGTTTTTGCACTCGGGTGCAAATTTTTGCCTCAACTCAAGGCGGGAGTAGCCGTCAACAATGCTGATGATGGTACAGCACGCAACAATCACCCTACTGCTTTCTCTCTGAGATGATCACGTTGGTCATGACGAGAGGAACAACACAATAGTTGGGTAAAGAAGAACTGCATTATAACACACCATCGACTGGAAATGCTCTCGCAACGTGGGGCTTTAGGTAGTGATGAAAACGTCGCTAGAACTATTCCACAGCCGCAGTCAGTTTATGAGCAAAAAGAGGGACGCACATTATTGCCTGTGGACTTGGAGACATACTTCAAGTCCCCGCGTACATCGTACGGGTTAGGCAAAAATGTGCGTCTATCTTGAAAAACTGACGCATTAATGGCCCTTCGCTCATTTTCAACTTCTATTCAATTTTCATACTGCCGTACTCTAACGGAACTATCCACCTACCCTCTTCTAAAAGATCATTCTCTAGCTAATAAATCATCACACTAAAGCTTCATGTTAGCATTTCCAACCAACTCTAAAATACATAAATACGTGACGGTCTTCGACGACAATGTCGTATGACAGAGGCTGTCAGATGACATTTTAGTTTGGTACTATACCTTGATAGCTTGTTTGGCAAATGTCAGAAGCAAAGACAGTCGATTATCACAGAAAATGCGCCGACTACGGTGACCGCTTACACCACTGGCTACAACTTTGCTCAAGACCGCTTTTTGATTAAACTTCATGGTAATTAGTTATTAATTGATTTCGAAGCCGATAACTTTCTGATATGATTAATCGATTGCTTTCAGGGCAACACTGCATCTTGCACTTACGACATAGTAGCCTGGTTTGTGTGCCCTATTTTTCGCACCAAGCATACCAAGTCGTCCAAACGGTGATAATCGTGATAGTGTGGAATTATTCGTGAACCTTTAATTTCAGGGATATAGTATCTTTGGAGAAGTTTCTAGGCATGCAAAGCTCCATCTTTTGACGGTACCCGTTGGTTAATTAATCCCCCTAAAAGTGAGGCTCAAAAATGAGTTGTTTGAAAAGTGGAGATAGAGGGTTTGTGTCTTTGGAAAGTTGCAGTAGATGAAAACACAAACAACTTTGCTCAAGACATTATCCCTCTATCTATCCATACAATAGAGATATGAAGCGTTATTTACGGACGATGTCTAAAAATCTGTTTTTTGACCATAGCTTTTTCTACGTTATTTTTATATGTCTGTGATGTTCTAATGAGCTATTTATCATGTAAAAATACACGTTTTCGTGGAGTACAAACATCCGCTATTCTCCTTATCTTCGTAGGTATTGTAATTTTTTTTATTCTAATTGGCACTTCTTTGAATTTCAATCAATCAATTCAGTTTCAAAACGCAACAGACAACTTTCGGTGGCAGATTCTGACAGCGGTGGGTAATAAGCAAAAAGGCTTATTAACAAGACGATCCGTGGGGGGCTACGTGCGGTGAATTGACAGAATATCTAACAACATAATGAAATTCTCGAATAATTGCACACGATCATGTTTTTTACCGTTTGGACCACTGTGCAATCATAGAGGTAACTCTAAGACTAGTAGGTCCCGAAGAAACGTGCTCAACTTTTTGTCTCAGCTCTGGTACTCACTTCGGTCTCAAGCTAATCCATGCACCCCTCGAAACATAGGAAAATCCACTAACCCCTCATTTTATTTGTCAAACTTTCGAATCAAAACAAACATAGTGTAGTACTAGAATTTTGACTAGAATGGGATACGTTAATCGATTTCCTTGGGAACAATAGGCTAGTCAAGTAGTGAGCCAATTTAAAATCGTTAGTTTCCACCGGTTGGTGCAATGTTGCCTGCTGAGCATATTTTGGACCACGTCAGAATTAATTAATAACTAATTATCCTGAAGTTCAATCCAAATGCGGTCTTCACTAATGAAAAATTACCATAAACGAACGATAACCCAAATAATAGAACTATTTCATGGATGCTACCCCGAACATGTCGTTAAGCAAAATAACCATAGCAATTTATTAGGTTTGAGCTAAGTTGATGCTGAGAAAATTTCACATTAGTACAGATAGCAAACTTTTCCGCAGAGCATTATAGCGAAGGGCTAGAACGATTAGAACAAAAAGTTTAATGAGCTCGATTAAGTTTGGTGGATCAAAATCTATATTTTAGAACCACCCTTCTTGGCCCTGGTTTGTTACACAACACCACAGACAAACAGAACACATTTAATATGTCTCTAAAACACTACCGCCATCTGTTGAGTGCACAGTGACCGTTAAATGCGTCCTCGATGAACAACTTGCGAATGTTACGTCTGTTTGCCTGTGACAACACTATGATTATCGCCCATCACCTAGCCAGGAAGTACTCGCATACTTACCGTCCAGGTATTTTGTCTCATCAGAAAAAGCATTTACCTAATTGTTCTCGCTTTCTTCCACACACCGTTGCTTGTTCGTTCAACTCTCGCAGGTTGACTCACCCATCCACTCACCACTTCCCGTTTACAAATAAACATTCCTTGCGCAAGTCTACCTGCAGTTTTTTTTTTTTTTTCCAGCGCTCGTCTATGTGACAGAGAAGTCAATCAAATGCTCCGTTATAGGGTTGATCAACTCCACCCAACGAGCCACGATCGGCGGGGAAGGTGGACACAAAGAAGATGAACAAAAACAGCGAAATTTGCATTTCCGGCTATACGATGTGCTCGTGTCGTATTAGCAGCTGTTCAGCAGCAGGGCCAATTTCCACGATGCTTTTGTGTCTGATTCTTTCTTTCCCCGGGAAACGAGACAAGAAGATAATGGAGGATTTTTTTCCTATTTGTTTTAATTTATTGACGCCTAGAAAAAGGTGTAGCTTCTGAGCTTCTTTTTTTTTTATTGATGCGGATGACTCTGAACTATCGGCTTGGAAAGGTGATTGAACTGTGCGCTTTACTCGGTAGACGTCTCCACGCTTTCGATGCCGTCGTTTTCCAGCTCGTTCGAGAACCACTCAGTGACGGGACTCAAGTTGACGTTGAAGAACGATTCGTGATCTCCCGGTTGGCAGAGGGTTCCAGGGGTGGACGGTTCAATTTTGTTGGAGATCCCCAAAAGGGTCCACCCTTCGGGGCGTTTAAAATAAAGCGGAGTTCCCCGAGCCGTCGAGTGGTATTTGGTATCTTTAAGAAAAGGTTTCATTATTCCCCTGAAAATCCAATACACGACCGATCCTACCTTTGGTTTTAAGTTTGATATTCTTATCGCTGATCGCTTTCGCCTTAACGGACAGCGTCGGTCCGTAGCACACGACTTCCTTCTCCAGTTGCAGTTTAACGATCTCAAATCCACCCAGTCGATGCCGATGGCTCTGTTGTAGCACGTAAACCGACTTTCCGTAGATCTTATCGAAATTTTCCTCTCCATCCGTCATGCAGATGGGCATCCCCTCCCATTCGTCGTACACTTTCAGTCGAATCAAAGCCAAATCCAGTTCCTCGTTCAACACTACATTCTCCACGTGGAATCTCCGGGATTTGTCGGTATTTTGCTGCAGAGCCACCAGCCCGACGTGGACTATCATCCCCGTCACCTTCAACAAACTGCCACTGCCGTCCTTCAAACAGTTCGCCGCCGTCAGGACCCATCCTTCCCGATCCAGCAGAGACCCCTCGCAAACCTTGTCCGGAGGGTTGAGCTTCGAGCCCTTCCACCAGTAGACACCCACGTGCCAAGGCCACTCGCCCGGTTCGATCTGTTCACCGTCCACCACGGAGTCGTTCTGCGTTTGCCGAATTCCACACACGCACTGACCGTCGACCAACCGTAGCCATAGTCCACCGCAAGTCACGGTAAACAGAACCGTGAACCCCACCCGACAGCGCCCGACAGCGACCATGTTGGATAACTATGACTACGGCAACTAAACTAAAGACAACAGATGTGACTAGCTTTTATAGACCGGAATCGTTTCTTCTTCACCCGACGCAGCAGCAGCGACGATTTGAATCAATTTGTACCAATTTGAATGAGGCGGTCGTAGTGTCCGACTCCGAGGAGATGTTTGTGCAAATATCTTCTTTTTTTTGCGACCGATTGTAGAGTGGTTTGGGTGCTGCTAAATTACTACGATTGTAGAAATTGAGTACAAAGACAATGGCGATGACACGGCAGCAATTGTGGAGCAAATCTAGACCGGCTAAGAATAGGTCCAGTAAATTGAGGATGTGCTTATGTCCCGGTGTCTCGCTTAGGGAATCTGGTCTAATGGTATGCAAATTGGGGATGGGTTTGATAATCAGGAAGGTCCTACTGATGAATGGAGTAATTTGCAAATCTTGAGATTCATTGTTCTAGCTATAGATACCAAGGAGTCTGGGCAATACATGAGATGAGCTATCGGTTAGTTCAACATGGTACTGAATATTCATGATAGGTGATTTTACACGTTATTACAAAACCTTAGTATTGGGATCCACGTTGTTGAATTGCAACTAGATTATTTTATTTAAATGCGGCAATGTGGGGACGGCCTCGGAACAGTCACGCCAAAGTCACGAGTTCAAATCACATCCCCGGACAAGCCACGAGCTACCCAGTAGTGTTAAAATGACTATACAAAAAATGCGTCAAAGTGACAGTTAGCAACGCACATATATAATAATAATTTTGTATCGTGTAATTTTCCTAACTAAATCAGATGAAATCGAAGGGCTTGTCAAACTAAAATTCGGGTTAACGAATTAAATTGGACCTATGATGTCAAATTAAGTGGTTCAAAAAGAAAATTTCACCGAATCAAGCAAAAAGTGTATAGAATCACAGTAGGCATTGGTTGTCAAGATAAGTTCATTTGTTTACATCATGGCCGGAGCAAGCACGTCGCGATTCGATCCTGCACGCTTGAAACAAAAATCCCAGTCTGTACGCTCCTGGAAGTTTTCGATCAAATTCCTGGGCAGAAATTGTATACCTTTGATGACCGAAAGAGTGCCCCGGAAGAATGTAAAATCAAAAATAAGTCGAAATTCTTCAAAAAGTAATCCATAGTGGTGGGCTGAAAAGCAAAACTTTCGTTACTTATGGGACTACTGTCTTTTCTGCGCCGTCGTATTCGCCGTCGTATTCGCCATCGTAGTCACTGTCGTAATCGCCGTCTTAGTCGCCGTAGGCAGAACCGTTAGTATATTTAAAATTAACCATCAACCGCTGAAACAAAATGAATTATCGCGTATTTCTGTTGTTCATTACATACCAAGTGAAATTCGAGAACGTAATTTCATTTGAATAGCTTGTTTAACCAGGGCTTAAAGAATCGTCACGTCGGTCATAGCTTGTTATGATTGCCTGAACCATGCGTAAAAAGAAAATCGAAACATTGAACGTCGCGCGAAAGTGGAACTTAATGAAGGCCTAAGTACTCTTTCGTAGCTTTTAGTTTTAGGATTTGAAAGATCGTCGGTTGCAGTGGCTTGCTTACCGATCAGAAAAACGCGGTTCCAGGTCCTTTCATATTAAAAATGTATGGTAAGATTTCGTTGTCGTCGGTGCCGGGTTTGAATAGTTAAAACAACTTGAGTAACGGTATAATGTGATATGAGGGACTCGGTGGCCTTAGAGCAACCGTTTTTGCTTATTGAGCTGAACATCATGAGTCTAATCTCAAGCCCATCCACATTCAAGATTCGTCAATCGTTTTATTTGTTAATATGACTACATGGTAATAACAGCAACCATCTGAATGATTAAAAAGGAGCTCATCTGCCTAGTGGCAAACGTTTTTGCTTACTGAGCAGAAGATCGTGGGTTCAATCCCAAGCTCCTTCGCGTTATATGATCGTAGGACATCAATTCAGCTTATCGTTTACCAAAACGAACTCTGCTGCAAACCCAACCCTATTACCCAATATCCCAGTGATTCCTCGTGGAAGTGCAGAGGTGTTCTCGGCTTCCATCAAAGCGAGTGTCACGTCAACACATTCCTACCCCTTCCTTTCTTGACCTGTGTTCGGGCGCGGCCGTCTCTGGTATTGTCTAGTTTGAGATCACCAGTTTTTACACATTGAGGATGATTGCTAGTCCCAAGCATCGTCTATTGGTTCTCTGTGTAATTACAGCTGGTCTGGCAATAACAGAGCAATAACATGGCTCATGCTCATGCTATGGGACTACTGTTTTTTTCTGGAGCAGCATGAGCTGGATTGTCTATTCTGGCCGGACTTGGTAAGCTGCCACTACGCAAATTCCACCAAATAGTTGTACAGCAAAAATGGCGTCACAGTGGTTCCCAAGGAGATGAAACCACCCAATTATCCGGAGCTAAAGTTCGGTCAAAAGATGATGGATCGTGTACGAAGAAAAGTTCAAGCAATGGCCTATGGTAAGAAGGAAGACTGAACAATGGTCTTACAATAAGCATAACACTTACTAAAGTATAGCTTTTACATTGAACTAAAGGGTGTATTCGATAGAAATGGCACACCGAAAATCTTCTGTAACTATTGAACCGTATTAGTAAAACACCTGAAAATTTGAGTAAATCTTATTCATAGTGTAAGTTTCATTTATTCATACAGTAGTTCCAGTTATCCAAAATCCAGAGGCCATCCATGGATCGCTAAAAGGCTTGGAATTGCAAATACAACTGTGGCTCGTGTGATAAGAACCTTCAAGAGGCGCCTGAGCTCCCGAAGGAAGAAAGGGAATGGTCGTAAAAGTGGTCCAATGGACAGTAAAATGGCCAGGAAAGTCGTGCAACAGTTCAAGAACCGTCCAAACATGTCAATTCGAGATGTCGCTAAAAAGTGTCAGTCGGTTTGTGTTTACAAGGTACAACAAGCCCCAAAGTTGCTAACCAAATCGTGTTGCATCGTGATCAGTCTTGAAAACTGTCACTGTAGAAGTCACGAAATGACTGATCATAGTCACCCTTTTTATTTTATCACTCTCTAATCTGACGCTAACTTAAGCAACGTACCAGTTGCTTTTGACAGTTGACAATGAAAGTCGGTCACTCACCACTCCACTCAATTAGTTCTTCATAGTGAGTGTCATTACAGCAGCAATTTTTCTATCAATCAGTATTGTTGACATTCGTTTACCTATCATTGATGATAATCGTGACATTTATTTTTCCAATAGTAGCTTCCGGTTCTAGCGCACAGTTTTTGTGGCCTTCCCACGAAGAAACTGAAGAAAAAAGTATATTTCATTGATTAATATCACCTGAAGGATTCTGCTTTCTCAACGGTTGTTAGAAAAAGTTATCGTTAAATGGGATGTCTTTGATCGCAGGGGAGACTTTGATCAGGTCGTGCAGTGTTGAACTGCTCATGCATCAACATTATCCCTATCCATTATCCATTATCCAATCTATCATTGGATATTATCCCTATCCCTATTCGGATAATTTCGAAGCCTTGTTCGTTTTTGTGTCGATAAATCTGGAGAACTTTGGGATTTGGACGTATTTGATTTTGTAACCAAACACGCGAATCACCAATTTCAAATAAAAGCTCGATCTCGCAAGGAATTAATACGAAATGATATAGGAATCATTCATCTGCCTGATTGTGGTGTATGCTTTCGAGGTAGAGATTTTATTTGCGGGAAATCGGTGATTGATGTTGTGGTGGATATAGTTGGTGTGAATAAAAATATTAAAATAAATATATAAAAACTTGAGAGTTGAGTCAAGTAATGATACACTCCATTTGAGTTCAACTAAATTAGCGTGAAGCATGACAGATGTGAGGGGAAATACTGGCAAAGCAAGCAGTGCTGGATAAACGAGGAGAAAATTTGGAGGGTATAGATATGAGCTATGTAAGCTCGTTGACGACATTCTTGTAACTAACTTTAGCAGCGAAGGACATCAGCAGCAGCAGCAGTAGCAGGAGCAGAAGCAGCAGCAGCAGAAGCAGCAGCAGTAACAACATCAGCAGCAGCAGTAATGGAAGCGGAGCAGCATCACTGATTTGTGAAGCTGTTGTACCTGATTAAAGGGATGCTGTTTGTTCAGACATGGCTGAGGCTGGAAACCTCGGTCAGGTCACGACAGATGTGTTTTGTTACAAATCTCAAAGTTATCCAGATTTGTTAATACAAAAACGAAGCTCACGATCATCAAAACAGCAACAATCATTACTCGTTGTCTGTGTCACACACAGTTTTGACGTCTTATCATCTAGTCACTCAGTCGACACTTAGGTTCCGAATGTCAGATATGAACGTCACTCTTTCGAAGGATTGTCAGATAGCTCAACAAGTCAGTGTGGTGTGGTGAGTGTCATCGGTGAGATTCGTTTAATTATGCTTTGGTCTTTTCCTTTGGCTACGTACGCTCTCGTGACAATCGTGAGATTTTGCAACTCTGATCGTGGTATGGATGACGAAACTTACGTCAAGGCCGGCTTTCGTCAACTTCCTGGGTAAGAATATTTCGTTGCCAACTCTAAGTTCCATGTTCCGGAGGTTGTTCGAAAGAAGAAATTATCGAAATTTTCAAAGAAGTTCCTGATCTGGCAGGCGATTTGTGGATGTGGTGAAATAAGCACCTCCTTCATCACTTCCGCAACAATCAACGGTGCGATTTACACGGAAGAGTGCCTTAAGAGGCGTCTCTTGCCATTCATAAGGAAGCACAAAAAATCAACTCTGTTTTGGCCTGATGTAGCATCCTGCCACTACGCTCGAAACGTGTTGGAGTGGTACCAACAATCAATACGAAACTATAGTTTTTAAATTGGCTCACTACTTGACTAGCCTATTGGTCCCAAGCAAATCGATTAACGTACCCCATTCTAGTCGAAATTCCAGTACTACACTATGTTTGTTTTGATTCGCTATGAAAGTTTGACAGGTAAAAAGAGGGGTTCGTGGATTTTCCTATGTTTCGAGGGGTGCATCGATTAGCTTGGGACCGAAGAGAGTACCAGAGCTGAGCCAAA